GACGCTTAACCGACTGCGCCACCCAGGCGCCCCAAGACCCTCCTTTTCTTAAAACCACCCCCACCCAACTCCCATCTCTGAATGCATTTCCTCCCATGTCCATTTCATCCCCTCTTGTCAAAGCCACCCCTGACTGCGAGTGACACACCCTGACCTCTCTGCCCCATTTGATCCCCCGGGGCTGCTCCCTCATCCCGGGTTTTTTTCACCCCCTATAAATGTCCTACTCATAAATCCTATCTCCAGGCCTCAGCTCTGCATCCCTGCTCGTTCTCACACCTCTCGCACTCATGGTCCCAACACACAGCTGTAAAGCCAGCATAGCTCGGAGCCTGGCCCACAACGGGGACTCACCTGTTCATTGAGGGAATGCATATTGGTTAGCAGCCACCTTCTCGCTGGTCTCAGAGGGGCTGGCCCCCTATTGCCCTGCACAGTCACCCAAGTGGCCTTTCTAAAGCTTAAACTGACCACTGCCTAAACCTCGGCTGTTGTTGTTCCTTGGCACCCGGGGACAAAGTTCATGATCTCCACCGGGCCTAGGGGCCTGTCTCCAACTGCAATTTCACAGCAGGGCAGGCACACATGCCCTTGAACATGCACTCACCACATTCATCCCCAGAGAGCGCCCATCAGCCAGTACCTGTGTGTCATTCACCTTTGCACTCCAGGACTGGCACCCTGCAGGTGTTTGCTGAGAAGACAACTATCAGAGCTGTAAAAGGTCTCAAGGACCACATAGCTCAAAGCAACTCAGAGAGGTTGATTAAGGGGCCCAGAGTGACCCAGCCCCAGGCAGTGATGAGGCAACAATCTCCCGTCAGTCAATTCTCCAGGGTCAGGAACCAGACCAATCCTCTGGAAACGTCACCTGGAGCCCCACATGTATGCATGCCAGAGCTCTAGCTGACCTTGAGACTGAGCTCCAGTCCATGTAGCCCAAAATCTGTACCCGGCAAGTGAGCCAGGCCTGGCACATAGTAGGACCTCAGCAAAACCAGCTGCTTGATAAAGTCAACCTCTCACCAGCTGACAATTCCCTCCATAAGTTTCAGGGCCGTCTCTAGGCCTTCATCTCTTCATCTGTAGGAAGGCCACTAACATGGCCTGCAAGTTTCAGTGGCCTGGAGTTGGTCAACCTAACTTGGTCCTTTGCAAACAGGGGACTGCAGCAGCCCAGATCTAAGCTCTGAGATCCACTGTTAGCCCAACTAATTTTTTGTTAACCTGTTCCCAAATCACTGTGTCTCAAAGGATGGTTCCAGCCAGCCCCAGGCGGCAGAATTACCAAAAGAGGGCTTGTAAAAGCGGAGCCCAGTGGGTGCCCAGGGGTCAGAACAAGTGTCTGAGGGCCGGCCGGGGATTTGCATTTAAGGCGGCGCGTGATTCTTGGGAACAGCGAAATCCTGACAGCGTCCG